TATTTACATAGGCTCACATACACCTGAAGATATTTTTTTACAATTTGGACAGGTCAACAGAAGGGGATAATATTCCGTTAAAAATAAGATATATTATGAAAAGCACCGGTAACTGAAATGTACACAAATATACAGTCAGTATATACAGAGACAATGATAATGACCTTTGCAGTAACGTAAAGTTCACTAAAGTCGGCCTAAAGTGAATGTGTATGGATTACATAATCATTATCTGAATGACACATCGCACACAGCGCCACCGAACTTGATGACATCATATTAAGATGTATTGACAAATGTTTAATGGCACGTCATTTTTCTAGGATAAGAAGGGGTCATTGCTACGAGATGCAATAACACAAAACAGCAAACTTGTGGAGTTTTTTTCTTGACTTACACCTCTTGCCCCCTTATATTTTGTTTTGTCAATTGTGAGTTTGATATATGACATTCTCTCAAACTAGTTTTTAATAATAAGTGCTAATTTAGTTGTCACTTTGTCCTTCGACGACATAATTGTACATTTATGAAATGTATTTGCCAGCTATATGGCTGAAATATTGCGATGTGACGATAAATGTTAACTCACTCACTCACTGGGGGAAAGACGTATTGGCTGCCAATCACAGAAACACCTTCATGTCAAATATGTGTAAGCATGTATCGATAGTAGTATGCTTTGCTGAAAGAAATACAGAATAGGCCTTTTCAAATAGTGTGACATCATCATGTCACATTCAGTCTAGAAAAAAGGTTTGAATTAAAAACAAATGTAAACAACTTAGTACTTTTTTAGGCTTTATTCTTGCTTTTGAGAAAACTTTGTTGAAAGCTTAATTCCGTATACCTTAGTATGGTGATCAGCCTTCAGTTGCTTGTGATCTCTAGCCCGTTCTTATATTGTACTGTTGTCTCTCGTGATATATTTTATGATAGCGTACTAGTTTTAAATTAAGAGCTGTGATATTCTAGTAGTTTTACTGCACTTCGATGACAGGTTTTTACGTTACACATTTATTGATTTGAATATTGATAGCAACTGTTCTCGTCACGATATGGCTGCAATATTGCCGATGTGACGTTAAAGTTTAACTCACTCACTCATTAATTCCTTATACAAACATAAAACTGTTTCACCAAATCTTTCGTGCAATTGGTACACAAATTCGAACACTGAAAAGTCATGTTCATTGTCATAACGAGACAGCTGCGTCATTATATTGCAGTCATGTTTGGTCTATTAGCAAAATCCAACTGTCCAACTGCATTAGTGATATTGCTCATAATACACAATGCGCAGAAAAAGCAGGTACAATATTGAAATGATATTGCACAATGCTACCATGAATGACAATGCTTTACAGGTTAGCATAGAGTCCAAGAGATTCCAGTCGTCCTTGTGCAAACTCCAGACACCGGCTAACATCCTCCTGAAAGTGAAACAAAACACGTCAGAACTGTAGACTCAAGGCACACTGTACTTAATATGGTGTCTCGCTGTCTCGAGGATGCATTAGCATGGAGACATATTTCTTAGCATTACTCAAACCCGACTGTAAAATACTAATCTACACAAACATATATATGCTTGTTGAATCATGATTATGTGTAAATTCACCTGCAACTGGATTCCACATGCCAGCAAAGACAGACAATTATGACGGATCACTGTGTCCTACCTGAGAGAATGGAGGTCCACCGAGAGTTGAGTGTAGACGTCGCATGTTGCTGATGACGTCCACCCTGCTGTCGTCCTGCAGCCTGCTGGCGATGTTCACCAAAAGGACCAAGAACCGTGCCTCGCTCACAGAGCTGCAGTGAACAATAAGTCATGTACCCACTCATGGGTGAACTCAAGAAGGTATTAGAAAGTGTTGACGGGTTGCATGACTTGAATTTTTAGTGACGTATAAAACAGGAAACTTGCAGCATGTAAAGAATGAATGGTTACCGATGCACATTATATATACCAAAATATTCGTATCAGATGAAACGACATGAGAGTAGGGTAATGAAACATTTGTAATAACCCCCACAATTATAATGATTACGACAGCGGTTTTACAATCACTACAACATTTTCTGTTGATGTCTTTATAAAACAGAACGACTAAAAAAACAGTAAGATATTTAGTAAGCTGGAACTACCAGGAATCATTGTTTACTGATAATGAGTTTGACTGTGCTACATGTCTGCTCATGTAATGTGGCTTTACATATTTCAGTATTTGTGACATCACACATGCCTCAACCACGTGTCCCAGGATGGAGAAAGGAAATGTGTCACCAAGAAGCGACTATTTTTTTAAACGGCTTCGTTCCAATACATATTATGGAGTTTTCAAAACTCTGACCTGAAATCTTTCATCTTTCAGATACATGGTAGATACATTTTCATGTGTAGAGCATCTGAGACAAGTATATATTTGACATGTCAATCAGAAAAAAAAAGATTGTTTTGGTTTCACTGAATAATTTTGTTCGTACAGAAATGAACTGATGTGAACAAAATATTTTTACTGTGACATGATTGTGCAGGAACATCTCCGTGGGTCACTCATCCATGTAAGTAAGCTGTCAATCAACAGAGTGACACTTGGATCATGTGTACTTCCGGTCACATGATAGTGTTGAATTGTTGTGGTGACGTCAGCATCCTGAAAGACAGTTTTCCTTCTTTAAAAACAACACGGAAAGTTAAACTGAAATATATATAGTAATACGATGTGTTGGTGATATATATTTGATGCCAGAAAGTTCCCAATATTTAGATGTTTGATTGGCAGTTTAGAAGATGCTATTTGATGAACAAAGAGAATTTTCTGGGTTTCATATTCTTTTTATTGTTTGGTATAACGTTTCAGGGCTTGTTCTGGCCCCATCAGTTCTACCTGTTGATGGGACCAGAACAAGCCCTGAAACGTTGTCCCAAACAATAAAAAGAAGATGCAACCCAGAAAATTCTCTTTGTTCATCAAATAGCATCTTAGATATAACTTTAGAGGTTTGCATGCTTGCTGTCAGCCTTGATGTGGAGACAGGACTGTCCATCGACGGAAGGAAGATCTGCAAGCCAAACAGTGTTAACTTAAGGGATTTTTTTCCTTTTTTCAATATTTGCGAGTGCATTTTGGATCATATAATTAATGACCACCGATATTTGACTATTTAAGAACGAAAAAAGAAGATAGTGTTAAATTGACAACAACATGTCATCTTTATCAACAAAGCAATTGTTTTCCGAAATATTTTATAACTATTCCTACCTGATTCCATAGTTCCTCCTTGTCTGGTTGTGACGTTGTTATGAAGAAGCCCTTCCTTGATGTGTAGGACTGCAGTGAGATATAACCTATTACATATACATGTATGTTAACTGTGTATATCATCCTGATCTACACACACGATGCGACTATGCATCTTATCAACAAAGTGATGTGAGGAGTAGCTACGGTAGACACAATATGTTACGTTAATATGAAGGGGAAAATAATGGTTAAGTTTGAATTCATTTAAGTGAGAACATAATTAATGTTAAGATATTATGTAACAAGCATATCAAAAAGTTAACCTTTATTCATCCATATTGAGGACATTGAAGAAAGTATCAAACTTACTGCCACCGTGGTAATATGATCTCCTGGAAGACCTGCTGAAAATATACATTAACATTAACTGCCTCTTTATTGGATCCTCGTGTTTGTGCAGTTTTAGAATGTGAAAATGAACAAGGCTCCTGCTTAAAAGGTGTTCAATTGCATTCCACGAAAAGTCAAGTATAGTACAGTGTAATTGGAACTGTCTTCAAATTACATCCTCGCTGATGTCAATAAGGCACCACTGCTCAAAGTACAGTATCCCTTGGATATAACGCCCCTGGTTGTAATACCACCCAGGATATGATGGCGTGTGTTTGCGAGAACGGATTTCTTTTCCTTATAATACCCTGGTTACAATGCCATCTGCCAATGATTTTGGGAACAAAAATCATTTTAATGCCAATTACACTGGCTGAATGTAGTATACATACCTTAATTGGTTAATTGACACAACTCAAATTATTTGACCAAACACATTAGGGTTTTAAGTAGTCGTGTTCCCAGATGGGATAACACATGTGACAATACACTTCCTGCTACCTACAACAAGTCACCTGCAGCCCCTAGATGCTGGGATTATCCAGTTATTCAAGGATCATTACAGGAGACATCAACTCAATCACCTTGTTGATTGTATAGGGCCTCAAAGTGTCCTACCTGGTTATAATGCCACCCTGGATATAATGCCCTATCTTCTCCTGGAAAACTGTGACATTATAACCAGGGTATACTGTATGCGTGATTCTGACTAGCATGAGTTTGAAGGACTCTATCATCTATCATATACGTGTTCGCGAACAGGTGAGTATATCCTGCCTTCTGGGAGCACACATCACATGGAAGAGCAGTTTAAATATTCACCTACACCGTACACAAGTGAAAATTAGAGTTGCACCCGACATAAATGTTTCACTTATGCGGCTGATTTCCCTATAAATAGTTTTAAAGCTTTCCTGAGGCCTTCGTAGTTGTAACCTTAACTGCACAGCTTTGAACAACACATGAACGGCGCAGTTAAAATCTTCGGAGATTAGAGGTTGTGAAATTTAGAAAGGCAAGAACTGCTGTAATATTTCTCGACATAAAGTTGACTTTGGTTATCCCTTATGTCATACAATCGTGCAGGGTGCTTATATGACTCTGGGTCTTTATGCTTATTTCTGAATTGTAAACATGAATCGGCGTTGCATCTGTTTTTTTTCTACATTAGCAGACGAAACAGATGACATGTAAACACGGTCCACGTTCTGGCAACTTTCTAGGTTTGGCTGGATCATACCACTCAGTCTGAGTTAAGCCCACCCACAAAGTTGAACAGACTGAAGTTTGTTTGCTTATTTGTTAATACTCTCCAGTCTGACGGCGAAGTGATATAAAACCAGGAAAGAACATTAAACTTACTTTCGGATGTATTTCCTAAAGCCTGCAAATGAAACAAGTAACACATTGATTAAATACATATACGATTTATTCAATATATGGTATGAAATACAGTGAAACCATGTTACATGCTATGCTCAACAAAAATATTTAAGGTTGGTTGTTTCGTCATGTTTTCCACTATCACGCTGTTAGTTTTAGAACAAATGATTATTTTCATCGTTCTTGTATTAACAGCCTTGAAGAATAGTTATACTTTTAAGTTTACCTACCTCCAGGTGTTCCTGTACGTTCGTGTTGCCCATTGTAAGCGAAGACACATGACTGAGATCTATTTGTCTGATGGCGTCAGCATCCAGTGATATGTCCCCCTCTGTAACCGCCATAGCCACGGCCTGGTACAGGAACAGGTACTGCTCCTGGTGTTAGACAATGAGAACGTAATATCAGGAGACCAGGATAGATAACATGTGAACTACACAGGGTGTTGGTGGTGTACTCACCTTGGTCTGTATCATGTTCCTCCTTTGGCCTCTCATGCTGGAGACGAAGCTGACGACGTCCACATTACCTTCTGCCGCTGCCTGATCCACGAGACTCTCTATAGCGATGTACGTCCCTGTCCAACCTATACCAGCACTAGAGAAGAAGAAGAACCAGTATAAATATGACACGATATTCCTAATTTACACTAATATCTACATCAAATTCGCCCACGTCAATTACTTTCATATAATCTACAGCTTCCGAAACATACATATATCAATATGCATTTCTCTATATATCAAAAGCAAACTGCAAGTCATAATATAGGGAAAGTTACAAATACATTGATTGAACGCAGAATCTTATAAAAATCAGTTTATTATCGTTTCCGCTCAAGTCAGCCTGTGTCCCCATGGCCATCACAGTATAACTCTAACCTGCAGTGGACTATGATAGGTTGTGTTTGATGTCTTGTGGTGACCTTGACCCTCCACAAAAACTCCAGCAAGGCGGAAGTGTCTGGTACACCATGGTTAGGCCAACTCGTGAAGTGAAAGTGGTGAACGTGATGTATGTTTCCCTCCTGATATTTAGAATTAATAGAATTTTATTTATGTTGAATATAACGTTTCGTCACAAACTACTACATGTTTATGTCGATATCTTCAAAAAAATATCATTTATAGAGAAGAATTACAAATATTGCAAAAATAATACCGACTTATTGTGAACAGACAGTTTTGTGACTGTGTAGTTTGCAAGCTGAGTTTCTGTCTCCTTGGTAACTGAGATGTCGCCGTAAATGGAAGTTCCTTTCTCTGGCCAGTACTGAAGACACTTCATCTGAAAATATTACAAGATTTAAATGCAGGATTTTTACAGGATTAAATGTCTCCATTCAAGTGAAACGAGATGATAAAAACATCAACACGAAAACTCAATTTGTGTGTGAGATTTCTATATTTGCTATCATTACGGATAAGTATGGATTTGATTCGTTCGTGTCAACCGGTTTTCTTTCAACATAATTATTCAGGTGCTGCTGAATATTCAATACCTTTGGGAGAAAAACAAGTTGAATGTGTGAATGATGGTGTGGAAGATGCTATATACATGATGTTCGGTGTGTGTGTGTGTGTGTGTGTGTGTATTACCTTCCCCGCCTCTACAAGTCCCGTCACCATGACAATTGTTGTAGATTGCTCCTGATAGATCATTCTCCAGAAATCCACCACTACTTCCGGTCCATAGGGACCTAACAAGAAAATGATTATGATTAATCCAGAGGTATTCTGAGAAATGAATATAACGTTAATATAACCACCCCTTGTAGCAGTGGTCACACAAAAAGTGCCAAGCTTTATCAGATAACCCTTCTACTTGGGTTTCATTCTTCAAAGTTATATATGCTCAACATCAAAATCAGTTGAACGCAATTACTAGCATTTTTTGTATTTTCAACGGTCCAATTTGGTAAAAAAGCTGGGTTTTTTAAGTATAAATTAGTTGCTCAAACAAATTTTCGTAAGTCCGTTCTATACGTTTGTGCTCCTGTTTTCACTAACCTGTCATGATAGGATCATGATTACCAAAAATCAAACTTATTGGACACTATTTTTTAAAAGCATACAGACAACAGGCGTAAATTCAAAGTGGGTTCGGATGAACACCAATCACTGTTGTAAAGTTAAAGATAGTCTTACAACGGAGATATCCCGATGTGGAAATACACCTGTAACTCAATATTACGTCATTATCAATAAATGTAAGGAGGAATACATTTGAATGACATTGGTTTTTGGTTTTTGGTTTTCATTGTACAATATCTGCTTACTTAAGATAACAGTTTGAGTAATCGTTTGTGTGTGTGAAACCTTACCTTGTGCTGCTATGTAACGCTTTTCTGCTTTATATCCCTGAAGAGAATTTACGAAGATGTGTATTATTTGTAGAAATATAATACATAACTGCCAGCAAAGCCGTGTATAACAAGATTTAAGCAATAAAATATAAGGAAGCTTATTTCTAGAGTGAATCGCTGCCTATTAAGTGTTCTTTAATGACGCGCCGAAATACATTACTGCTGCTTTTAATAAGCAAGTTTGTGCCAGATAATCCAGTGATACCGTCCATGATAAAAGAGCAACGAAATTGGGAGACGATGACATGCAATCAATAAAATCATCAAGTCGGACCAGTCGAACAACTCAGTCACATATTATGACAGGAACATATCACATATGCCCTAACTCCGACTATCCATGGGTTTCCGCGTTATGAACCTATAAAGTACATCAAACCTTACACAGGACGCCTAAACTACTAAGAGTGTAAGTTAACTTCAAATGAACAACTACAAGATGAAAACAGGCCATTTTGCAGTTACGCTCAGTGTGTATTCGGTGTCTGATTGACAGTAGTTCCTTAACTCACATCGAGGTAGCTGGCGTTGATGTAGTCTCCATCTTTCTCGTCACTGACGTGGTGCAGCACCACGCGGTTGTAATCATCTGAAAACGAATACATCGTCGATTTAGACTTGACACTGGATGACGAAGTGCAACTGACTGAAAACATTTATGTTGTACGATGTCAACGTTGGCCTTAGATTTAAACTTGATCATCTACAAGATGTACTCACATGGGTAATAGCCTCTGAACCTGTTCTTTCCTTTGTTTTTAGGTTGTTGTGATTCATCATAGGAGTGTACATAACCATCAGGAAGTCGCTGAAAAGGAAAACATGTGACATACACCGGCTGATACTAAACAAATCACTTATTCCACATGATTATTATCACATCCAAGGTATGTACTGTTATCCAAACTAAAACCTGTAAGCTGGAGGCAATTTGCACTAAGTGTAATTGCCTAGTGTGTGCCTTTGTGTGAGAGCTGGTTGGCTCGAACAGCATTCTCTGGTCGCGGTCACAAGTGGAAAGAGGGAATGCCGTTTGCAGCCACAATTTCTTGCAGCAACAATTCCCCTTCGGAAAACAGGCAGATAGTGTATTTCCATTTTTGGTATTTCAGGAGAAAATTTATATTTAATGGATGTTTCAAGGAGCTGTTGTCGGGTGGTTTTGTGTGATGCAGCTTTCGTGGTGTATACTAAATGCCATTAAGCAACTAACTTATGTCAAATTCTGTTCATTCTTCCTTGTACGTTGTGGTGTCTAAAATGTATTCTAAAGCTTGTGCACGTCACTTAGTGTTTACCTTAAATTCTTCTTCTGCTCTTGCTGGAGTAATTTCTTCCACCCGTGTCTGTTATTCTGACACCGGAATCACGTGATTACCCCCATTATTGTCCAGGTTGTAATAGTTTCTGTCAGGGGCCTCTGGTGTGTCCTCAACCTGTGCAGGCCGGTCAGAGACGTCATAGTCCTCTTCCTCCTCAAGGTAACCTGTTCTGCCTTTACCCGTATCCTTGTTTCCAGTCGTAGAAACCGCTTCCTCGGCTGAATCGCCTTGAGATTTATTTTGCTTGCTAACCTTTATTTGAGTAGTTGATGTCTTCTCTGAAGACAACGTTGGTTTCTCGTCGTTATCAAATCCGACATTCATGTACATACCAATGTTTTCCGCTACAGGAAACAAAAAAGGACACGTCACAACTAAGATATAATATCTTTATCATGTATAGAAGTACAAGAAATAAAAAAAACAGCATTGCTACAACTGAGATACCGACATAACACAATGTAGGTATGGTACTTTCAGTTGTGTCATGGAAAATCAAGGATCAAGTTAATGGACCTCTGAAGAAGCATATCTATGTCTGTGTCAAGGTCCATCATGCATCATATACCACTGAGTATATAAGTCCATTTGCGAATAATGCTACTGTTTTGCCTCATTATATCAGTCACAGATAATCTTGTATAAAAGGGAAAACACCGGGGAGACAAATCTACCTTGTTTGTGTTTCATGCTATCAGCAATGAAGGGTTCGGGTGTAGAGCGTCCATGAATGATTCCTCGTCTTCTTCTAAATGTAAGACACAAATTAGAATATATTTGAATCATTGAAAATAAGGGCTAGTGATTTTGTAACATCCATTTACTTACACGTGGCATTTTAAGACATTACAGGGGTTTGACATTGGTATGAAAAAAGAAAAAGCAAAGTTCTGTTCAAAACTGACCTGATGAGGATGACGGCGAGGACCAGCAGCAGTATGACCAGCTCCTACTACAGCAGCGATTGGAAAAGAGGTGCCAACAGGCTGCTGACTTGGGGAATCTGTGGGAACTTGCTCTAGAAACATGATTTAAGATGATTCCAATTTTATATACATAGATGTGCAGACGTCTCTCATCACATAAATATGTGCGTATTTAAACAGACCTGTCAATGAAAGAATAATATTGATGTTTGTCATTTTGTGTCATCTGTGTCATCAGATACATTTAAATAATGTTATTCCATGATGAATGTGTAATTTACTGAAAGAAGTTTTCACTCTTGAAAACATTAATGTTACTATGATTTAAATGGACATGTCAGTAAGTCAGTATCTTGCTTCACAACCGAAACAATGGCACACTGACTGTGGCACACTCAAAGTCAGTCTGCACAGTATCTGGAGACAGTTCAATACCAAGTCGTCTTGAAACCTTTTCTGTCAGCAAGGTGAACAATCTGGTGTAAGTGTCACGGGACGTGTTAGGTAGGAGACAGAAGGCAACAGGAAACATCCCCCCCTCTACAAGACAATGTACAGTGTACAGCTACAGCCAGAGATTTGGATACACAAAGAAAGTACCGTCCATGTATATAGTGTCTGAGTCAGCTGGAGTCTCCAGCATCTCTGTAGTCGAAAACACTAAAATCTTGTTGTCTTCCCCATCAACGATGGAAAGAAACTGTCGTCCATCTGTGGTCTGTGTCCAGGGTCCTTCTACGATAGGTCAAGGCGCGTCCGTGGCAAAGGTGGAAGGACTTTTCTGCGGTGGTAGTACATAGCTGTTTTCACACTTGGGAAAGGGGCAACAGTCACAGCAGCTATCTCAGCGTTGTAAATCTGCTGAATAAGGTTGATGTTACCAACACGCTGTTTAAGTCGGCTCAATAGACGGGTCTGGTCCTCATTTTCTGATGGGTGGGTCTGGACTTACTTGAGTGTGGCACTGTGGTCACCTATGATACTACAACGTCCCTTGCATCCGCTGACAACGCATTTCCAGTGTGTGGCAACTTGTCTTCTGACGTTCAGGCGATATCTAAAACGATCGTGTAGTACTTGCTGCCCTCCTTGTTGCGAAACGATGAACTCTGCTCTGATGATGTTTGCCATGATAGCATGAACATATACAGTCGACTCTGTATCATCCGACACTCACTGGGACCGGAAACAAATGTCGGATTATACAGAGTGTCGGATAATTCAATGATTCCTTGCTTGAATATTTTTCAAACAGTACCATACATTGTAACTGGCTTATATCATGAAATTAATGTTTAATAGCTATTTTCTTGGTAAATAAAGCGAGGGAAAATTCTGTATTTGTACATCATTGGATTTATTATCTTCACTACAATATACACATATGTACTACTATAATAGTCATATTCACACTTTCATTAATTGATGCCTTTTCTCAGCCCATTCATCCTATGCTAGACATACCTAGGTCCTCACACTGGCTACTCAGATTTAAAAACAAAGGTACGGGTGTTCTCACACTGCTAATTACCTCCCAATTAGCAAGTGCTGGGACCAAATAGATTATCCGTAACAGGATGTTAGTTGTCAACTGGCCATTGACAGGTTGATTGTCTATTTTAGTCCAATATGGGGAGAGGATGTTGGATTGTACAGATTAATTGTGTCATTGGGGCCAGAAAATGGTGTCGGAATTCGGAATGTACAGATGTAGGATAATTCAGATGTCGGATTTTACAGAGTCCACTGTACTGATATTCTGATCCTTACATACCTCTTACAGTCACAATAACACATCGGATAAGTTTTGTCAGTTTATTACTGCTAGTCTGAGTAGAGACCTACTGCTGAATTTCCATGTTCAGTTGTAACTAAGTTGTTATCTATCAAAACAATTCTAAGTAGATTATAGTGGATAAGGCAATGAATAAAAAACACTGTGTTAAGAAAACGTTTTAAGGTTGTTGAGTAGATGGCTATTGTTTTAATAATGAAGGATGATCGGTTAAATATCTCAGCAGATCATAGGAGGTAAGTTAATGAGCATTGGACTAATGATAAGCACTGAGACCTTACATGTCAAGGTGATACCTATTCTCTAAGTAGGGGTGTATTTTCAGTTTCCAAACTGCCTACACAACTTTTGTAGGCAAATTGGGATGTAGGCACATTGGGAACAACCGTCACAATAGTCACGAACAAGCGTGACAAGCTCTGCTCCTGATAGAACATCAGCGTCTGTAAAGTATCCTCATTGTAACTTGCTCGTTGCCTTGCACCCGACATTTACATCTTGTTATTACCTGTACAGTCATCCCGTGTCCAGCCTGCTTCACATCCATCAACACAGATCCCTGTTGCTTTACAGGAAGCGTTCTTCATACAGTGTCTAGAGCTGCAGTTCATGCTGCACCTGATCCCATAATGTTGGGCATCACATTCTGGAATAAGATCATTATACAAGTTATATTTCATTCCACCTTCTTTATGTGAGACATACATGTGTGTTATTCATTACATCTCTATCATCACATTTCTTTCATCACATTTCTTTACCATGGGGTGACACATACATATCTGAGTACATCTAATTGTAATTTTTGGTGATATGATTCATTGTTGCAATAATAGTTAAAGTTCTGATCATTTGAACTTACACACAACTATCTTGGAAATCTTAATCATGTACCTATGTGCCCAACGTCTTTGTGATTAATAGTCGCATAATTATGGATATTCTTTTTAATACCCTCATAATTCAGTCAGGGCAACAATTTAACACTTCAGCCAATATTATCTCTGTGATGTTCTTCCTTCCCCAACAAATTAAATTCAGATAAGGTTATTTAGACATTTAAAATACATTGGAGGACTTCCTTTTCACTCTGGCATGTTTGATCGCTACTCTTACAAAAATACTTTGACACCGTATCCAGTTTCTGGCCATGAGTAAGTTTGTCACTGCCATAGGTACCATAGGCATGTGTACATTATGAAAGTGGAAAGTGTATATGATCTCTCACAGTGGTTTCAACCAGGCATACGTATTGTCACCCACGCTTGTGAACCTCATTGAAGGCATTACCTGTACAGTCAGGACGCCTCCATCCTGTCAGACATCCACTGTCACAGGTCCCCGTTGAGCCAGTTGAGATTTAAAGTCACATCGGCAATACTTCAGCAATATCGTGACTAAAACTAGTTCTAAATTCATAATTCATACATATAATATATAAAACCCTGTCAACGAAGGACAGTAAAACCACTAGATTATCAAGATTGAGTAGCTAGCTTATATATTTTAAGATTAGAAGATTATTTCTTGACAATACAATGTAAAAATGGGCTATACATCGCCAACAACTGAAGGCAGATCACCATACTAGGGACCATGGGGTCCCCGTTGAGTCACAGGAACAGATTCCCTCACAGTGTCTGGAGGAGCTTTTCTCAAGGCAGTTGGATCAATAATGTTTGAAATCTCATTCTGGAATATGTTAGCAGTGATTAATGGGAGTGTCAATATGTATGAGGTAAAATATTCATAAGAAAGTGGAAAGGTCTTAGAAGAAGTTTATTTCATATTTGCTTATCAATAATTCCAACGCTCACCTTCTTTACAATCAGCACCCATCCATCCAGCTTTACATCCAGAATCACATGACCCAGTCACATGATCACATGATGAATTTCCCGCACAGTGTCTGTCAGAACAAATACTGATGCAGTTTGCGCCGTACTTTCCACTGGTACATTCTGTAACAAAGAACTGAGTAGGTTTCAATGCTTTTTATGGTTAGATATATGCTGATATTCTTCATGCTAACTTTGTATGACATACCTCCTTCCTGCAATAACTGATCCATTTGGTCCCTTCCAAGTTATGACTATTGTATTTGATCTGTCTACTTTCTCTACTTTCCATCTGACTTTGTATTTGATTTGTCTTTTCATACCAATACAAGTTCAAAACTATTCACCTTGTGTGCAGTTAACCTCCATCCAACCAGGAAGACATCCTGTGTCACATGCTCCAGTGTGACGGTCACATGACGAGTTTGTAGCTAAACACTTCCGCCCTGCACATGTTTTGTTGCAGTTAATACCATAAGTAGTGTTGTTGCAAGCTGGAAAATATAGATAAGGGCTACTGTGTGCATTCGGCATTTAACAGAGCGACATTAAGCACTTGATAGGTAGTAAGTTGTGTATTAATCAATAGGCATTACACAATTACTGCTGACTAAAAATCGTAACTTACTTACTATTACACATATGAAATGCCTCAGTGAATGCAACACCTGTTCAACGTACGCATTTTATTATTTCTACATTTTAATCCGGTCTTACCTGAGGCCACGCTTGATAAAGGGGACACATATGTGTCGACAGTATCCAATATCACAAATTGGATAACACCAATACTGACAATAAAACACTTCTCACCTGTGTCGCATCTCTGCCCCTGACACCCTGGTCTACAGTCTCCAGGACACAATCCAGTCCACCGATCGCAGGTCGAATCCAGGCAGTGACAGAACGTATTACAGTTCACCCCGTAGATTCCTAGGCTGCAGACTGGTGCATTGTTAAGACAAAATTAGTACATTCGATTGTGTTGAGAGACAGATGAAGATGAATCGTGGTGAAGTGGAGATGAAAGATTATTTCACTCAAATAGTGACGTGCATTCACTTGTATGTGCCTTGTACCAGTTTGGATTTATTTCCCGCCGTGATGTTGCTGGAATATTGCTAAAAGCGGCGTAAACCAAACTCAGTCAGTCGGATTTATTTATCTTCGCCAATTGACACTTTGGAGCCAACGTGCTGCTTTTATCATGGCTTACCAACTCACATTATCAGGCACATAACCCTGACCTTCAGCCACCTATTATTTCCTTTAATTCGACACAGGCAGTGTAAGAGACTTATAATTTCAGGGAAGATGAATAGTGGGCGACAATGAAGGGTCATATCATGGACAGATTAATTGGCTGAAGTCCCGGAAATAGCAAACACCTTGACTTATCAGTATTATCTGATAAGCAACGTTCTGACTCCACTGATATTGTGAGCAAACATAACAGAACATGTTACTGGTGATTGTAAGCTGGCAAATCAGTGGAACTAAAGTTTTCACAGTGCACCTGCAGAGCCATTGAACAGTTGGACGCTAGTTATCATACAATATATATCCTAGCATCTCTCGTTTTCACAAGAACGCTCAACAACCAGGTAGAAGAAATCTATCTGCATGTCATCTCGCTCTGATGTCTTTAATACGGCTTCTAAATTACTGATATTAAGCTCTGAAACCTAGATTACAAAGTCTCCTTCATTTTCTGTTAAAAGCACACATGTGTGTCACTGGAAAGACATGTACTTGTAAGTGCGACATATATGTCGTACCATATATCTCCACCTCACAAATGTTCAGTGCACCATCGTGTCCAGACTGTGACCGCTGTGTCCCAGGGTTCCTGATGGTGACGTATCTGCCGGTACCGTTACAAGCAACATCAGTTGGGTAAGAGGCTGTGTACGGGAGGGTGAAGCAGATCTTGGATTGGTCCTTGTTGAGGTAGATGTTCGAGAAAGTGTTTCTCGAGTAGTCTAGTATAAAACAGAGTCTACAATGTCGTCAGACAGTTATATTGCGTTAATATAATTGTTAGTTGTCAGATAAAGTGTAATACACTAAACAAAAGAGCAACTTCACATATGTAGTTTTATGTCCCAAATATACCCGTAAAGAGCATAGTGTGTATCGAGGGGATAAATTTGTGTTATGGACATAACGAGCGTACACTACACTAAAACAGGTTTAGGCATTAAGGTGCGCTTGGTGTCACTTTTTCACAGGGATTAGCCATCTGTATTGGAGATTGTTCAGTCCCCCTCAAAAAACAAAACACAAAACGCCCCAAAGCCCCCTCGAATTCATAGCAGCAAGCTTAAGGCCACGTTGTCTCATTTACTTCCATTGACACCATTTAGCACAGCGTTAGGCAACCTGCCCTTCTGTTGTACCAACATGGCGCCCAGATCTTGAACATTTAGTTCTTGCGTCTTAGGGCGCAAAGACTTTTTCCAAGAGCATCCACTACGTATTTGATGGATTGAGGTCAGATGATGACCTCGATGGCCACTCCATGACTCAATACCCGCATTTTGCTTGAAATTTGGCCAACTGCAGGTGAAATTATGCCCAGCGTTATGATTTACCTGTGTCAGAACTGGCCCAACATAAGGCACGAAGATAAGCCAGCGTTTTCGTATGGCCTGGGCAGTTATGCGGCCCTAAACAGTGCGTAACGTTTTGACTTTGCTGTCGCAAAACGATTACACAAATGACATTGCCGAATTTTTTTGTCCTCGGCATGTGACGACACACGTGGTCATCCTAATCTGGGGCGATTAGATGTCGTGCCCGTTTAATGCACCCGTGTCCCCGGGTCGTGATTTGTCCATCTTATGGCACGTGCTACAGCTCCAGTAGACTGGCCAGCTTGGAGCATGCCAATTGCACGTTCAATATTTATAAGGTGTAGAAAATTGTGTATCTCTCCTGAAGGATTACTAACGTGTGTTGGGCACATGTGAAATTAGTAAATTACGTTAATTTTAGACTACGACTGTTAATTACACGTCTTTTTTGTTGTCATTTTTGTTGTCTCTTACGGACTGTTTCCCCGTTAAGCATTTAGTGAACTTTTTGTTTCAACTTGAAAATATACACTTGATCAACTCCAATTGGTAAATGCACCTTCAGACTTAAAGTTGGTCACAAGTCACTGTGTCCGTGATGGCCCGTGGTCTGATGTAACATTATGTGGTGGTCAGAGGTTGTGCGAACGGCATTATAGTTTATATAAAACATGTTTGATGTATATTCGTGTACATTCATTATTGTTCGTTTGTATCAAAACATGATTTGATGTACGCATTTGATCATCCTATTTTATCAAATTGATTTGAACATTATGGACATCACTAAATATATGGAAGCCTATATGTAAACATGAGCCTCATAGCTAACATCAGCTGAAAAACCCTGTTTAATTGTATTCACATGTATAACATAAAACATAAAACGGTAGGGACAATAGAAAGGAAATAGAATATATCTATATCACTTTATTTCTTTTAGTAACGGCATTGCCTTGAAGTGCTATAGGCTTGTCACAAGTGTGAAAGCAAATGATACCTTGCTCGCAACTGACTATGTATCTGTTCGTCATTCATTATTACGTTTTTGTTCCAAATGAGTGTGTTTTGCAGCTTCCCTTATTTGTCAATGTAAAGTGATTATGCATATGATGATAAATATTCGTAATACTCATCGGAATATTTTTTATAACTTATTCATTACTATATATTTGTTTGATTTTGGCGTTGTTATTTTAATTTATTGGACTAGACGAGCCTAGGTGAGTATTCTTTGATACAATACAATTTTAAACCAAACAAAAACAAGTTTATCTTAGAACATGATGCCGACACCTACATCCACTTCTACTGTAGATCCTGATGTCATACAGCTGGAAGTCCTGGCCCAGATCCACTGTCCAGTCTGACGGAGATCCATCAGCGTGGAAACAGGTTCTACCCCACCATTTATGTCACTGTCTCCATCCACAGCATTTGATGGGTACCAGTCTCCATACACTCCAGATGTTGTTGATGCTGTCTTGCTCAGTGCAATGTTTTCTATGCAGACAAGCATTTATGGCAATAGGAAATTCTACTGTTGATAACATTATGAAAATTAAAAGCCTAAAGCCACCATGTCACATATGAATTATACATGAAAAATATTTGAATATCATGAAGTTTATATTTAATTTTAGGAAGAACCATTTTCATGCAGCGCAGAGCAGAATAATTGATATACTAAAAAGGGAAAGGGAACGTGGTACTAACGTTTCTGGCAAAGGCCCCCTGCCTTCCTCCATCCAGTGTCACAATCACCAGTACAGGCACCTGTAGTCTCGTCACATGGTGTCTGACAGTGGCAGGAGTAGCTACAGGAGTCTCCAAACAGTCCTGATGCGCAGGAACCTGTGGAGAGTGAGTGAGTGAGTTAGCATTTAACGTCACCTCGGCAATATTTCAGCCATATAGTGACGAGAAATGTTTTGCATACACAATAACTTTAAAGTGTTAAAAAACAAGTCACAGAAGGACTGTAAAATAACTAGATTATCACAGATGGTGTCTAAAAATAGAATGTAAATCTACAACTATTTTATTTACGAAGACAAAACAATATAAAACAGGCTATAGGTCGTCAACAATTGTTGAAGGTATACTCTGTTTGCAGTCAAAACGTACAGATGAATTTCACTTTAAAAATTGAATGAAATAAAGTGATGTTAAGATTGCGAATCCTCATAATTTTACCTTGCTAGATGAGCATTTAAATCTGAGCAATTTTTTTAACTTAGGATAAAAGTTATTTAACAAACGATCAGTTATTCAAATCAATATTATTGGTTTGTACTACAAGGGGGTAAGCGCAGTAGTTCGAACAGTGAGACAAATGCACATGCGGTACGTGAAGAGCGTTAACCGTACTTGCTCTCGGTGTTTCATTTAATGTGCATACCCCCTTGTAATACAAACCACACAATGCAAACAAAAAACAGCAACAAATGAAACAGCAAAATAAAACACCACAACTCTCAGTTGTGTGTACACGATCAACCGTATGGAAGCACAACCTGATACTGTCGACTCATGCTCCTTGTAAATTTGCCTCAAAAATAACTTTTACTCTTCAATAAGTGAATTTCCGACTCCCTATACAGATGTCGACTGGATATCTCGTCGTGAACGGGTGATCAATGCACTTGTGTTACATAATGGCAGGACTGGCCACTCCTAACAGATAATGATCTCACCATCTAAATTGGTATCAACGTCCATGGCACAATGCACAATGCACAATGCACCTGCATGCGGTCTCACGTAGACGTTCGGAATGTCATCTTTATAGCACCTGTCATCATGACCCAGAGTATGGCATAAAGATTGGTGCTCCCATGGCCAGCTCCACAGATGACAACCAAAACTATGACTGAGTCCAAATCAAAGATGTCATGCTAGACTTTGATGGAATCCTGATATCTTTCTCCTATCTAACCCACGCTCGGACACAATGATCTGCGAATTCTAGAGCATATCTCGATTCATCTGTGAAACTGGGGCCCAGTTCTGGTCTTTCCAACTGACGTGAGCCCAGCCAAGTTCAATGAGATGCTGACTTAATTGCAGCGTCTCGTCACGCCGAAGACCTAGGTTCGATTCCCCACGTGGGTACAATGCGTCTGGAATTTAAAGTATGTTTATCACGAAATTTGGGCCCTATATGAGGTACATTATTATTGTCAAGTGTGACATTGTACGCTCCATTCGGTGAAAGTTCTTTTGTACCTTCAAAACGCTGTTCTCAGCAATCTTTGAGTCAAATATTATATATCTGACTGACATCGGCAATTCTATTCCTATACCCTACATGAGCAACGAAGAAAAAGTATTCCCTTGTACAATGTACACCTTACACTCACTGAACATATACTTATCCTGTATGCATACGTGAACTCGTATCAGAGACTCAAACTGTACAAACTGTTCGTTTGCATTGAACTGTTTTACCATTTCACTTCCACAGAATCACATGCAGCTAAACATCGTCCTGTCATCCATACCCCCGGGGTCGTTACATCCATTCAATTGCCATTCCTACCTTACGGTCGTGTCATCTCAAGCCAGGATACTGTCTTCCTACCAAGATGTTGTATCGTCCATACCAAGTTTCTGTCATTCCTTTTACCCTTTCACCTATTCTTATTATCCCTCCACCTAACAGTACAACTTTGGGATCCTGCTATACCTACCCAGTGCTACCCAATATCCGCGATGAGTCATCCCAGCAGAACACCATAACACCATTACTCTAAAACTCTTTCAAAACTAACCCACCCTGACATTTTCCCTGTGAGCCCTGTTATCCCTAACCAAGTGTTCTGACATATACTGAGTCAAAAAAGAAACTTCACATTCTTTCTTCAGGGCACTATAAAAGAACAAGAGATGGTAAGATGGTTAAATTGTTATTATTTCATTGCTGAGATCTGTGTGATGTACTCGATACACTGACAGTGCCATAATCAGTTCCATTAGGCTACACCGCCGTTCCAAAACATGGGTATACAGAATGTCAAGTCACAAGAATAAAAATGCGAAATTTCTCAGTTCAGTATCGTGTATGGCCGCCCCGCGCATTCACCACTGCCAAACACAGTCTCCTCATCGACTGCCTGAAGTTTGTGAACACGTGTTTGGGGATTCTGCGCCATTGCTCTTGCAAGGCAGCGCCAAGTTCCTGCAAATTCTGAGGTTGGTTCCTAAGACCACGAAGCCTTCTCCCAAGTGCATCGCAAACGTGCTCTATTGGATTAAGGTCAGGGGACCTCGATGGCCAGTCCATGACGTTGATTCCAGCGTTTTGAAGGAAATTCCGTGTCAACATCGCGTTATGCGGCCGAGCATTATCATGCTGCAACTGTAGACCTGGGCCATGAGCCGCCATGAAAGGAACGAGTTCAGGGGTGAGCACCTGGTCGCGGTAAGCAGCAGCTGTGAGGTTTCCACGGATGACCAGAAGTCGGGAACGGTTGTTCCCACAGAAAGCGCCCCACACCACGCAACTTCCGCCCCCGAATCTGTCGACTTCCTGTACACAACATTGGGCATACCGTTCACGACGTCGTCTCATGACTCTATGCCTACCGTCCGCGAATCTATGGGTAAACCTGGATTCATCGCTAAAGACGATTCGAATCCAGTCTCTCTGGGTCAATCGGAGGCGACGTTGGGCCGACAGCAGAGGTTGACGTTGATGAAACGGCGTCAATATTGGCCCACGATATGGACGTCGAGAATAGAGAGATTGGCAGCCCGCAACCGATTTCGTATGGTCTGTGAGGACAGTCGATTTGGGATAATGCTATGAAGAAAACTTCGATGCGAAGATCATGATCTACTGCAAAAAGCTGAACATGACAATGTATCAGGTATAACATTTTCTTTTGACTACAATTAACGCTGTCCTTTGGATGACAAGAGCCTCAATGTTGGTGACTTCCATCTCTGGGCTTGGATCGCCTCTGGGTTTGGTTTCCTTTGATGGAGCCTCAATGTTGTACGGATGGCCTCTGGGTTTGGTTTAAACGCTGGTAATGTTTGACAGGACCCAGGATTTTTTAAGTCAGATTTTGACGTCAGCACATGTTTGCCGACGATGTATTTTCAACGTCATATGTGAATGCACGTGTACAGTTGTGATTTATTTACACATGTTTGGATTTCAAGGTAAATGGGTGGAATACACAAGCAGAAATTGCTCTTGTTTGTGACCGTAACATAATGTGTAGAAGTTTGTAAGTTCGTAAAATGCAATTATGAACCTTTATTGATGTGGTTTAATGCAGAAATGTTTCGTCGATATTAACAAAGCTGATCTTCTCACCTGATGTCAGCAGTATCCATCGAAGTAAGACCACCACAATGTTGAGAAACCAGGGAAGTAAAATACCCAGTCAAACTGCGTTAACGGTTACGCCCACTGAGTATCTACAGTATGTGTAACACTATGTGTATTCTCTCTTTTGTAGTTACAAGAGGCGACTATAGTCCTTGAATATTCCGGGTTTAGACAGCAGATTACACTCTTAACGTATCCTGTTCATTGCGCCTGAATCCAGTAATATATTTTACGCCTTGAACGACGCAAAACGACTTTTTTCACTGACATACATCATCGTAGTGTACCGGGTCGCCTGTATGTAAACATGCGAGTAGTAAACATACTAGTCTCAATATCTTCAAATATACAACAGCTTACTGTTAGTGATGTCTATATATGTTTCGTGGTAGTTAACTTATCAGATCTACTCACCCGATGCCAGCTGTATCCTTCCTACACACACTAACACAACCAATATCCTGACACCCTCCATGTTGAACAACGAGGAAGTAAAACACCCAGTCAGACTGTTACATCATCTGCGATCCACTGTGTGATGTTTGTGTAACTCTATGTATATTCAGCTTTTGAAGTTACGGGGTGAATTCATTCTGCAACACCGCTGGGTTCAGACAGCGGATTTTTTGCACAGGCGGTTCTATGCATACAGTCAGAGTATTAAACGACACATATCACTGTAATGGGAACAATGTCTCCAGCTTTCATATTCGTTGTCCGTGTAACCCTTCCTCAATAACGTGTACATCCACTTCAGACTGGACAGGGGAGAGGGACATCATAAGAAGTGTTCTATGCACAGATGTAGCGAGACACACGACTTAGGCTTTGATCAATGTAAGGGACATTCCAGAACAGCTGAGTGGAGTATCAACAGCTCACACTCACTTCATTCTCCTCCTACCATGCATGTGACTCACTGACCCGTTGTAAGGGTGACTCCCAATAGAGCTTGCAGGGTAGCTTCCATCTGGGTCACGCTCGTTCAACCCTGACGACGTATAAGCGCTCGAGAATATTATTTACATGAACTTAAACAGAATACAACATAACTGTTTTGTCTATATATAGCGTGTCGCGTTTTCTTTCATGTGTGGAATTATACCTCTGAGTTGTTACTTTCCCGTGGTTCACTTAACGCGACATATTTGCTTTTGTGGAAGTCGATGTATCTGAGTGGGTTATATCGATGACTTTGTGAGCTGGCGATTAGAATCCACACCGAGACAGTGGGTTCGAATCCCGAATGGATTCATCTTTCAACATGTACTTGAACCTTTACTTTACTGAGAAAGTGAAATCCCCCCGAAACATATGTTACATTTATCCGGCTTTTTAATGGCAATAGGTATTTTCCTTGGTTGATTAAATGCGACCTTCTGTGTCTACTCTGTGTGTTGATATTGTTTAAGTGCTGAGTAGTCTAGAATTCTTATGTTATTTTCGATACTGAATGGTCAATCCCATAACACAACACAGTGCAGTAACATTTACACAGCTATGTTGGCCTTAACACAATATAGGATCTGTTCCTGACGTTAACATTGCTTCTTTCCTTGCGTAGATTTGCAAGAAAAGTCAATGTTACATTTGTATGAGAGTTATACTCACTTCCTGTGGAATGAAATAATTTCTGCTTCAGGAAATGGGTATACTGGCTTTGGAAATAAAATGCTTACAGACATGTAAAATGTACTTCCGGTTTACTGACACCCGGTTAGAAACGAAACATGTAAAAGCAGTTATATTCAGTACTTTATACGTTTGTAGCAATTTAATGTGAATGTCTTGCATTGGTGCACTTAAGTAGAAGTTAAGTTCTTTGATATCCATATGGCGACGTTTCGGGACTTATCCTTTTACCGTTATCAAGCTAACTAACTAGTCCACATATTTGCTACTTTGTCATTTCCCAACTTCTAAAAACGCCTATCATACAATTCACCTCTTGGTGCCAGCTCTCACAGAAAAGTTAGGAATGACCGTTCCCCTGAGGTCAATCCAAACCTTACCATATCAACGTTCACAATGAGCATGATATGTACATAAGATGAACATTTTTTAAACAATTCCAATTCTTCTCAGAAATAACAATGTAACTTGAAACTTTTCTCAGATAACAGTCCAAAGACTCAGATGTGCGAAAGGCCATATACCTGTTGTTGATAACTAGGATGTATTGCGTCAGGAAACAGTGGATAAATTAAGAATACTTTGCTGGTAAATTTTATTCTGTTTACCACCCACGGCTGATAGAACACGGGTTATACAAATAAATCACATACAGATACATTTTTAAAATGCTGCAAAACGAAGAAGTGAACTATTACTTAGGTGGTGAAATGCATAAAAACAAAACCATGAGCAAAGCCTATTTGATATTTTCCTTTATGTTTTGCAGTATTTGTATATTTGCAGACCGGATAGTATCACATCTGCGGACTTCGGTTGTCATGGTTTCAGTCATACTATTTAATGACACCAGCAAGGTAACATGTTATGAACTGATCGGATACAACATACGTGTACTACAGGATATTTTTTCATTTTAATCTTTCCTGTGTATGTATTCTTTGCCAGTATTGTCTAGGATATCATTATATGCCCTTCCTTCTGCGGTATATATCATGCTCGCAGTACAAAATATAAGTGTCAATTATCTGATTTTTTGTAACATAGATACAGAAAAGCAAATTACGTTCAATGCACAATATATATATATAAAAAGCGATAATCATGCAATATTTGTCTTGTTCAATAGTGACATAAAGCATAAAACTAACAACAAATATAACAATATCATAACAATAACGACAACTCATTAACACTTATTATATTTACAAAATACCAAATACGAAAGTAAACTAACAAGATTTTAATATCATATTTCAGGCTGGATATCTTTCATGGTATAACCATATACACTATTCCAGATTTGTTCTCTGGACAGATCATATTCAGCTTTGTGAACATTAAAGGTATGTCAGCACGCACGAAAAGGATGCACTGCTCTCAACTCAGATTTGGTTGTTTTCATACACTTTGTTCTGAATGACATCATACTGTGACTTCTCCTCTCTCTCCCTGGTGACTTCACTCAGTTCGGTGTAGTCTTGTTCATTCGTTCCAGACGTGTTCACATGAGCAGGAATCCCACCAGTGCCACCTGTGTCTGTATTTCTCACACCTGTGCTAGGTGAGGATATCCATTTCAGTCTGAAACAGAGATGTTTGATAGAAAGAGGACAGGTGACAGTTCTGGAGCCTGAAAATCTATCTTGAACTGTTATATACTCCACAGGGAGCTAAAAATTGAAATCGAGTGCACACTGATCCATTGATAGAAACTGAAACCTTTCCGCTGAACGTGTACCTTTCGTAGTTTGTATTAACAGCAATATCCGTGCACACATTATTTTAAAACTCTTATATATGTGTTACTGCTTCATACAAAACTTTTTTCAAAAGTTACCTTCCAGATTTCATCAGCCCACCAATCAGCAACAGCATTACAACAAGTACTACCGCTCCTCCAATGACGCCGCTTGTAACAGGAGACACTGAACCAGATACACAAACAAATTAGTTGTGCGTTTGACATTATTTAATATCACTGACTATAATACGCCCATGCATAATATATATCAACGTTAATGCCGATCTAAGCCAATTTTCTATAAAGACATAAATGAGATTCGAACCTCTAACATCCTCATCACATCGGTCACCAGTGAAGCCGTCCAGACACTCTCCGGGACAGCGTCCATCTCCAACATTGCACGTGACGTCACAATATCCACAACGAGTACAATCAGGTCCATAAGTTCCAGGCTTGCATCCTGAAAGTTAACAGTTCCGGTTTTAAGTGATGAAGTTATTCTATCAAGAAGTACATTTAAATATGTTTCAGCAATGACATATCTTATCAAATCATTCTGGCTCTTCCACTGAATTCCCCACTGATATATAGTAATATACAGCATATGAAACCCTGATGAGAGAGAACACATTTGAAAATACGAAAAAAATACAATGTATACAATTATATCATATGATGGAAATGCTGACAGGCTGTTGTAGGCTACTACCAGCTTTGTCAGTTTTGGAAGACTGACTGACTGACTGAGTTTGGTTTTACGCCGCTTTTAGCAATATTCCAGCAATATCACGGTGGGGGACACCAGAAATGGGCTTCACTCATTGTACCCATGTGGGAATTCGAACCCGGGTCTTCGGCGTGACGAGCCAACGCTAAAGCACTAGACTACCCCACCGCCCCCAGCTTTGGAAGAGGCAAGTGATAATTTACTCTTTCATCAGTAAGTAAGTCCCACATCTAAACAGTGTTTCTGATTGAAATGATAAAACATCAATACTCTACACATACTGGCGGACCTGAGATACCCTGGGCACTACATGCAAAACCGCAATCTCACCTGGCATTACTCCTTCCTCAGCCGACTCACATATTAGCTTGAATTATGTTTCAAACCATTTCAGAGCTAGTGCTGTATAGACGCATATCAACATCATCGATGCGTTTCTAATTCTAAGAATATATTTTAAATATGAATTTCTGGAAACATTACTCTGAGTACAGTCTGCTCCAATCCATCCTTCCCGACAACCGGCAACGCAGGCTCCTGTCACGTGGTCGCAGGAGACTGGTGCAGTTTCACAATGACGTGAATCACAAGACTTGCTGCAGTTAGAACCGTACTTCCCACTCTGACATGCTTCACGCAAAGGAAGAGGGAGATTGATAATACAACAATTACATCTTTGTTTCGTGAGGTTGAAATATCTTACAAGGCTTTCGATCCAAATTCAGGCAAAATGATTCATTAAGAGATACAATTACAATGTAACTTAACTATACCCATAAAATTATGGGAACTTCATTTATAATTTACAACAGAAAAAATGGGAGATATATCAGACTCAATTAATGTTGATATGATAACAATGAATGTGTTTAGAGTGCATCACCACTTGTGCTTCCTTATTACCATAGTTGTTTTTACAATAATCTCTCTTGAAATATGAAAATATATGACGTGAACTTTGCATGTGCACAATTTCCATTTTCAAACAAAGAAACGACTTGAAACAAACAGTAACAACTGTGTGAGGCACGATGATTGTCAGAATTAATGGTCTACAGTAATTCTCTTGCAAACCTTCAAAATCAAGACTGACACCTCATGCACGTGTATTGGGCTACTGTGTTGTACACGTGCATCCCATGCGTAGCGTTTTGGGAGGGTGATCAAAAGAAATGGTGGTGAACTATATACTCAATGTCAATTCACTCAGTGTCATTCAATTATAGACCTTACATTTGCACTCGAAAAAAATAGCAGCACATTACTTGTAACCTTTTCTTCACTATCATCTCGGCCACAGTTCATTTCCATTCGGCGTTACATGTGTTATGCCAGTGAGATATATAACTTACATATTAGTATGAAAACAATTCCCAGTCTCACGTATAATACAGTCAGATTTCTGCCAGCCTTCCCGGCATCCATCTGGGCATAATCCAGTGACGTCACACACAGAAGATGGCGTATTACAGTTGCGGGAACTGCAGAACTCTGTACATCCTTGTCCATATCTTCCAGAGGGGCAAATGACTGACACTGTAAAGAGTAAAACTTATAAATGTAGTATCCTTTAAATTTTCATTATTATTATAATCATTACAATCCAGGGAATACCGTTTACGACCTAAAACGAATATATCTCTGAATGACAAAATCACCTTTGGCATTCAAATCTAAACCATGACATGATGAGCTAATGTACACACTACGTTATTAGAAAGGATGATTTTAATAAAAAATGTGAGGTGTTATAATTACTTTTCTGTTTCAATTCAATTGTTATGTTCAATATGTTCGGTAACTCTTCAATATTACCCTCGTACAGTATTTTAATTGCCCAATGTGATGCTTCGGTGGTATAAATGACATCAAAAGCAGCAAGTGATTTGACAAGTACAGTGTGTCTTGTAAAGTCTACAAGCAAAATGACAATGGACTATGACCTCAAACATTGTTCATGACCTCACATGATAAACACTCTGGCCATATGTGGCTATATTCCATGTTTAACGTAAATCATGTTTTACCAACATTTACTGCAGTGGTGAAATGGTTATGCTTTACTGGCCGCGTCATTTGGATTAACTACAAACGTTTCATGTTAGGCACCCAAACTGGATGATGCCTGACTGATCGTGACACACGCTTACACCTAATCTATGTTTAAAGGTATCCATGTTCTTCTTACTTATTTGCCAGTTGTATTGGACAACATCCATAATGATGAACGTTGTTATCTACATCTGTTCATGATATAAAACACTTCCTGATATATGTTTCCTTACAGTATTTTACTTTCTCTACTAACAATAATATTGCCGTGTCTGTAGTAAAACCAGTATCCATGCTCCTTCGCACGACTATTGTTTTTCATGCTTTTTATGTAGAGAATATTTAGCCCTGTAAAAACCTTTCATTTGCTCTCATACATTTGTACATTTATGTGTGCCATTATTAATAGCATTTTATATTGTACCAAATGAAAATGATCTCAAGTATATACTTTCCCTGACCTTGTAATGAAACAACTCAAGCCAAACCATATGACTTCATTATTTTTGTAATGTTTTAAAAGTGTCCAATATTTCGGCCTATTTGGTTATCAATCATGTCTTTTCATGTCATCCACGTTATCACCGATTCTCAGCTTTCATAGATTAACCAAGAAATTTGAAATACATGTAGTCCTCTTTTCTGTTCTGGACATCATGCGCGGACACATACTACCCGTGAAGGTCCGGGTTAGAATTGATGTTCAGTAACCCATGCTTGTCGTAAGAGACTACTAACGGGATCGGGTGGTCAGGCTCGCTGGTTTGTTTGACACATGTAATCGGTTCCCACTTGCGCAAATCGATGCTCATGCTGTTGATCACTGGATTGTCTGGTCCAGACTTGATTATTGAAAGACCTCTGCCATATAGCTGGAATATTGCTGAGTGCGGCGTAAAACTGAACTCACTCACTCACTTTCGAACACATACTGAATAGTTCTTTACCAGACAGTAGTCAATCATGCCGTCGCCGTAGTGATGTATTCCAGTACTATTGCTAAGAGATAAGATTGTATTTTACTTTAAAATTTATCCTACATATTTTATTGAAAACCATTAGATGATTTCTAGAGTGTCCCTCATGGCATAAGGACATTACCTATACAGTCACCCTGTGTCCACCCCGTCTCACATCCAGTGTCACAGGCCCCTGTTGAGTTCCCTGCACAGTGTCTGGAAGAGCATACACCACGACAGTTGGACCCATAACGATTGGAATCGCAGGCTGGAATAAGGGGGGCACAGTTTCCATATCCTAATTTCCCATAAGGTGTACCGTCTGAAGAACGTCTTTGGCTTGAAGTTTCTTATTTCTTATTCGCTTACTAATAATTCCAAGGCTCACCTTCTTTACAATCGACACCGATCCATCCAGCTTTACATCCAGAATCACATGACCCAGTCACATGATCACATGATGAATTTCCCGCACATTGTCTCTCGGAGCAAAGACTAGTACAGTTTGTGCCGTACTTTCCACTGGAACATTCTGTGAGAAAGAACGGGAGAGGTTAAAGTGCATTCACGGCTGTATGTGCATTGACACTCTTCGTGGGAAATTCAGCTAGGGTCCATGCAGGAAGCAAATGTACTGTTAGTCCACATGGTCCCTAGTATGGTGATCTACCTTCAGTTGTTGGTGATCTATAGCCCGTGTTTCATATTGTACTGTCTTCTTCAATTAAAATGTTTTAGATTTACATTCTAGTATTATATTCATATCTGTGATACTCTAGGATATATTGTTTTCGTCACGATATGGCTGAGATATTGCCGATGTGACGTTAAATATTAACCCACTCACTCACTCACTTCGTGGGAAAGTTTCTTCCGCAATAACTGATGTATTTGGTTTCAAGTTGCAAGTCATTGATGTGCCGATTCATAGAAATAAACTGTCAGCATTCCTTACCTTGTGTGCAGTCAACCCCAATCCAACCAGGAAGACATCCTGTGTCACATGCTCCAGTGTGACGGTCACATGACGAACTTGGAACTGAACACTTCCGCCCAGCACACGCTTTCTTGCAGTTAGTGCCATAAGTAGTGCTGATGCAAGCTGTAAAATACAGACACGAAGTAAAATATTCATTCGATAATTAATTTGAAAGGAATTTGACCTGTGAAGCATTCTAGGTAATCGGTTCAACAAAGTGTATGAAACTGGTCAGAAGGAAGGTATTGCTGATGCATCACTTTACATGCCCCTGAAAACTTACCCATACTAAGACCTCCAGAACGACTGTCCTTGGTGATCATTTTCATTAATCATGAATAACCTACAGTCAGCGTATACTATGGGGCACGCATATCTGAAGTCCCCAGTCTCACCTGTATCACACCTCTGCTTCTGCCACCCTGGTCTACAGTCTCCAGGACACAATCCAGTCAAGCGATCACACGTTGAATCCAGGCAGTGACAGAACACATTACAGTCCACCCCGTAGATTCCTGGGCTGCAAGCTGGTGCATTATTAACACAAGATAGGTACCTGGGCTGCAGACTGGTACATTGGCATAAGGAATTAGGTACATTTGACGTCATTGAGAGAGGGAGAGAAAGGCGATACGTTGTAAAATTGGGTTGAAGGTTCCGTTTAAAAAAATGTCTGGTTGTTTGTTGAGGGTAACAACTCTATCGATAGTTAACCGTGTTTTGATGTGACGCTGCAAGGAGACTGAACAGCCGACATTTCATTCCCTTCTCCGTCTGTTACCCCGCTATACCATGGAGGCATTTTGGAGGGGAAGGGACACATATAGAAGAGTGGATTGTGGAATTTAGATGTATAACGTAGGTGATTAGGCATAATGGGGTAGTGAGTGCCATCGTTGATTACGACAAATGTTTTTATGATCACAGGCAAGTTAGAATGGTGTTATGTCTATCACAGTCTGTCTTTTACTAGAAGGCGTTTTAAAAAATCTCAATACAGAATCCTAAATGTCTTTTCCGGAATCGGCACCAGAAGTATTTACTCGCTTCATAAAATTGGTATCTCATTCAGTTACTTATTGTAATGTATAGCTGTTTCAAATCTCGTTTAATAAAAACATTTAAATTCTGATCATAAACTTACACAACCGTATTAATAGGCAGCGATGATTTGTGCGATCAACAACAGTTAAGTTTAACAAACTAATACAGCTTCAGTTTACACGTTGACTCATATCAGTTTGAAACCACACAAAAGTCAGATTTAGGATTCAGCAGCACAAAAACTGTTGTAATTTGTGATTCCGTTGCAAGATACACCCGCGGAACGTTAGCCTAACCACCTGGTTCCCACAATAATAGAATGTGCGTGAGGTCCTCTCGTTCATCAATTATCTCCAAAATAATGTCACTGAATAGACCCAGAGATGTGGAGAGTTTTCAATATTTGTTTATGAATCTAGTTCAGCTATTCAAAAGAACGCGTCCAGTTGTTAGACACTATTTAATATAAGTTTATTGTTATTAAAAGAGTGACATCTTCAGCGGGAAAGTAATAATAGAAATTATGAAACATACATAGTGGAACACAACAAAGAGAAATAACCATTTTAAATTATCCAGTTTGATATAAATGAAAATATCCTGTCAACACACTCCAAGATATGGTTGATAAAGTTTTACAAATGCTCAGAATTTATTCTGTAACGGAACTTACAAACAAGGACTTTGGAGTTGAAGGACAACAGAACACATTTGTATCACCAGGACCTGAAAAGACAATTTCATATAAATGCAATAAATGACTTACCATAGATCTCCACCTCACAGATGTTGAGTGTGTCATCGTGTCTAGGCCCTGTCCCCGGGTTCCTGATGGTGACATATCTGCCGGTACCGTTACACGTAACGTCAGTTGGGTTGGGAGTACCTGATGAACTCGGGAGGGTGGAACAGATGGTGGAGAGGTGGTTGTTCAGATAGATGTTGGAGTTGGCATTTCTCAAATAGTCTTCAGTAAAACAAATACAGTTTCAGACTACGTTACACTATAATACTGGGTTAATATCGTAGTTGTGGTTATCTTATATATCACATTACGAAACTATGCCCATTGACATTGGCTGTTGATAGCTTGATAGTTACATAAAACTCTTCTTTGCTCACAAAACATAATAGCCCATTGTAGCTAAGGAATCTTCTGTTTAGTTTTAGTTGCAACTTATAAAGCCCCTCTCCAAAGAAATTTACATTAACAGATTTCTGCACAAGTAGTTATAGGAAACAGAAACAGAGGAAGATGGACAGTTCAGGGGAAATATCATAATAGAAAAGATGTATAGAAAGAAAACTACTAAAATCATTTTGATTTGCTTGTATACTTTTCTACATTTTTTAATATTCAGTTTTAATGTTTTGCCAGATCTGCAATGCCATTTAAAAAAACAGATAATGGAATCACAGCATTACAGTCACAGGTATCTTGAATAGCTTTTAAAATGATCTTGCTATGTTGATTGTATAATGAACACTCTAAGAAACAGTGATGAGCATTTTCGAATGGGTTACGCAGGACGGATCTGTGATTATCCCTACTTTGTACTTTGTAATTAACTCCCTCTATGACGTATTTGCGTATGTAGTACGGTAAGAAATTTACGGTGGAACTGACTTATAGCTAAGGGTGTTTTATGCTCGATTTGAATTTTGATAGTGAATTAATATTTCTTACTTCTGCAGATATATTGTTCCATAATCGAATCGTTGAGAAAGTTCTAATCTTGTTCTTGTGGTAAGGAGATATTGCCTGAATTTCTTACATTATAATGACTCCTGGAGCCTACGAACTGAGGAATTATTCCACCTTTTCGCGAACACCTGCCATCATCACTATTTCATAGTGATTCATAAACACATGGTCTGTCATCGTATCGCATGGTGACAATCACTGGATTGTCTGGTTCAGACTCGTTTTGTTTTCAAATAACATCATCAAGCTGTAATGATGTTGAAACAATTATATGCTCATGATATAGTCACAATTGTTCAATCGACTCTGCTTTTAGCAGAGATTTCTTCTGAATGCTTCTCGATTCTATTAGTGAGTGAGTGAGTTAATATTTAACGTCACATCGGCAATATCTCAGCCATATCGTGACGAAAACAATTTATACAATAAAAAGTGAAAACATTTTGAAGATTAAAACCTGTCTACGATGGACAGTAAAAATAAAAGAGAATCACAGATATGAATATAAAACTAGCGAACAAAGCTAAAACATTCCAACTAAAGACGACAATACATTATAAATCACGGGCTATAGATCGCCGACAACTGAAGGTAGATCACCATTCTAGGAACCATGGGAACTTACATTACTTTTGCTACCTGCATGGACCCTAGTTTGATTTACACCATCCCTTCAGCCGGTGGAGATCGTAGTCAAATTTAGCCGCCAGTTAAAAGAACAAAGATACTACGTTCCATAAATATGGTAAATTTACATTTTACTTTGAACGTATTGGGACTTACGTACCCTCTCAGGAGGACAATAATGTTACAGTACTTTAACCCCCTTTGAGGGTACAGCCACTAACAATCTAATTTACTAATCTGAATTACCAATCTGTAAAATATATCTATTTGCAAAAAACATTAATCAGAATTCATCTAAGAAATCAATTTCTTTTAAAAAACAATAATTAAATGAAAATTAACATTTGTAAAATGATCTTTCGCTGTTTTTACTTTGAAATATTTATCCCTCATGATGGAGAATTCAACATGTCAAGCAGGATATGCTTGACTGTGACTCTCTCATCACAAGGGATACAAACGGAGGATCTTCACCTTTTAACAGGTATTTGTGAGTGTTTCGCGTATGGCCAATGCGACATCGTCGCATAATGACCTCCTCAAAATTAACTGACAACCCAAGTAAGTGTAACCAATATAAGGTTTTATAGCATGTAATTTATTGATACCTACCTGGGTGTCCCACTTCTTCTGCATCACATCACGGATGTAAGTTCTAATGCTAGCTTTGTAATCAGTGTATGGGACAAGAAGTGTTGTCAAAGATTTGCTGAGTTCTGCCTTGACAGCAAGATCGGCCACTGTGTTCCCAGAAATGCCAACATGGCTGGGTAACCAACAAAAGACGATGTCGCATTGGCCAGTAGCAAGTTCGTTATACAATTCAATAATTTCTATTGAAAGTGGATGTTTACAAGACAGATTTTTAATAGCCTGAAGGCAAGAAAGAGAATCTGATAATATTACACACTGTTTATGTTTAGGATGTTGTTTAATATATTTAAGCGCGGTTAATATGGCATTTGCTTCTGCTGTGAAAATAGAGCTATTATCTGGCAATCAAGAAGATATTGTTTTGGATCCAATCACAGTGGCACACGCCACTGCACCACTATCCTTGGATCCATCTGTAAATACGGATTTGTATGTATTATATTTACTTTTTAATTGATTATACTCTTGTTTATATTGTAATTCATTAGTTTCTGATTTTTTTAACGTTAGGTCAACTTCCGGCCTAACCAATTGCCAAGGAGGAGAAGAAAGAAGACGGTAAAAAGATATGTTTTCGAGCTGAATGCCGGCAGCAGAAATGAAAGGATTAATTCTGACCCCAAGAGGCGGAACAAGAGAAGATGTCTTGGTTTATAAATCCTCATAGAGGGGATTGAAGACACAGTTATAAGCAGGGTTAGATTCGTTAGAGTGTAGTTTGGTAATATATTGTAGAGATAATTTTATACGACGTTGGGTAGGAGAAGGCTCATCTGCCTCAATGCAGAGACTGTCAACAGGAGAAGTTCAAAAGATCCAAGGCAAAGTCTTAGTCCTTGGTGGCGGACAGAATCTAAAAGTTTGAGGTTTCTTTTGCAGGCTCCACCATATACGATGGAGCCATAATCAAGTTTCGAACGGATCAATGATCGATATAGGTGTAGGAGGGTAGCTTGATCCCCCTCCCCACTTTGAATTGGAAACGACTTTCAACAAGTCAAGTGCCTTCAGGCATTTAGTTTCAAGTGATTTAATATGATGCAGAAATGTTAAATGTGAATAAAAATTAAACCCAAGAACTTGGCTTCCTTAACATCTTTGATGGGGGTGAGCGAGTGAGTTAATATTTAACGTCACATCGGCAATATATCAGCCATATCGTGACGAAAACAATTTATACAATAAAAAAAGAAAACATTTTGGAGAGTAAAACCTCAATTCGACAATGGACAGTAAAATAATAGAGTATCACAGGTATGAACATAATACTAAAAGATTTGAATTAAAGAAGACAGTACAAGATTAAATACAGACTATAGACCGCCAACAACTGAAGGTAGATCACCAAACTAGGAACCATGGGGACTTACATTACTTTTGCTACCATGCATTGGCCCTAGCTCAACTTTGATGGGAGTGCCATTTAAAAATATGCGGCTTATTTTTCTACAGAAATGTAGACAATTAGTTTTTGACTTATGAAATTGAAAGCCGTTTTCAAGACACCATTTATTTATTTTGCTTAAACATAAGTGCAGTTGCCGTTCAATAGTATGCATATTTTTACCACGATAAGAAATATTAAAACCATCACAAAAAGTGATCCATCAATTGAATCGTTTATAACCTTTGATAAACTGTTGATCTTAATTCCTAAACAATGTGACAGACAAAATGCTGCCTTATGGGACACCCTGGTCCTGATGATAATGGTCAGACTGGGTTGAACCTACACGGACTTGAAACTGCTTGTCGGTTAAAAACTGTGATATAAAAAGAGGTGAACGACCCCTCAAACCAAAATCATGTGAATCCTTTAAAATGCCATGCTTCCAGGTGGTATCGTATGCTTTCTCGAAATCAAAGAATATCTATACTGCATGTAATTACAATTGCATTTTTCACAACGGATTCTAAACGTACCAAATGATCAATGGTACTACCATTTTTCCTGAAACCACATTGAATAACTGTGATAAGGTTATTGGTTTCAAGATACCAAGTTAATCTGTTATTTACCATTTGTTCCATTACAGACACAACTCGTTAAAGAGATTGGTCTATAATTAGACGGATCAGTATGATCCCGTCCAGGTTTTGGAATGGGGACTACAATGGCATTACGCAAGGAAGCTGGGAAATTCCCTGAAGTCCATATTGAATCAGAAATGTTTAGCAACGTTTCCAGACATGATTCGGGCAAATGCTTCAGGAGCTGATAGTGGATATCATCAGTCCCCGTTGCTGTGTCATGAGCTTGCTCAAGGGCGGTAAGAGCTCACGTGGTGAAAATAATTCATTATAATCTTCACCATTGTCTGAGTTAAAATTTAATCTTTTCTTCTCCTGTTGTTTCTGAAACTTTTGAAACTCAGTGACATAATTTGATGAAGATGAATGCTTGGCGAGAGTTTCACCAAGTTTATTGGCAATGTCAGATTTATTAGTAAAAAAATTAACACCATCCTTCAGATGGTGAACAGTAGATTTAGAACCTTTGCCCTTTATTCTTTGAATCATGTTCCACACCTTTGACATAGGTGTGCGTGAATATATTTTAGAAACATAATTTCGCCAAGACTGACGCTTATTTTGTTTAAAAGCACGTCTAGCTTTGGCATTTAAATTTTTAACTTTAAATAGATTCTGTATGATAGGGTGTCTGCGAAAATACTCTTCAGGTTTCTTCCTACACTTTCTGGCATGTTTACATTCATTATTGAACCATGGCTTACGAATGCGTGGAACTGCAGAGGACTTTGGTATAGTTTGGTCAGCAATGTCATCGAGTATATCTGAAAACAGCTGTATAGGATCTTCGTTGTTCGCAAAAACATCATGTTTTAAGTGTCCAGTACAAAGTGTTTTATATAACGACCAGTCAGCCCTGGTGAAGTTTCGTCTTGATAAAGGTGGATCATCCCCAGGGATGATGTTTTTGAGAATGGTGGGAAAGTGATCACTCCCACAAAGGTCATCAT